ATTACTTGTGAAAATCTTTTTTCTAGTTCAGCAAGGAAGACAGGCCTCTGTTCTATTTTTAAAGTGAGGAATTTTCTTTTCTAGAAGCACTAGCTTTCCTTTAGTATAATTGGCCAAATTGGTTTACATTTAAACTTCTCTTAGCTAATCAATGGCAAGGCTAGATAGTGTTACCAAAATTTTCTTGGGCTTAGAGAAATTGAGATTCACTCCCACTGCTGAAATGGAATGGGAAATCAGGACACTGGTTATCTCTTTCATCCTTACTGTTTTGTGAGAAAGATATTACTATTAGCCCAATTTTATGGAATACTGTATTTTATAATGGCTGAAAACTGTCCCAAGGAGAGAAAACAAGCTAACATGAAGAACAGAGTAAAAAACAGTAAGTGGTAGTGCTGGGATCCAAACATTTTTAGTTATGAACTTGTCATAATTTATGAAGTTACAAAGAATTATCTGAAATGAGGTGTTCTGGTGGACATATGCACTGTATTACCAACACCCAAGTCCAGATATAGAACTTTTTAATCACTACAGAAATTTCTCCCATGTTCCTTTCCAGTCAATAACTAATTACCTAATGGTAATTACTACTCTGTCTTGTATACTAACTATAAGTTAGTTTTGCCTGTTGGTGTACTTCATATAAATGGAAACATACGGTATGCACATGTTGTGCCAGGTTCTTTTGCTTTCTAAGATTCATTTATGTGATTGTGTTTATCAGAGCTTTACCTTTTTGTTGCCGAGTACAATTCCATTGTTGAAACCAGTACATCCATTTTGCTGTGATCTAGGTTGTTTTTACTTTTTGTCTATTATACATAATACTGCCTTAAACATCCTTTCCTAAATCATTTTGTGAGCACTTTACACTTCTTTTTCTTTGGCATATACTTGGAGTTGGAATTTCTAGGTCATAAAGAATGAGTGAATGGCAGTGTTGCAAACTGGTTGTCCATTATATGATTCCATTAGCAATGTATGAGAGTTCTGTTTGCCCCACATTTTTACCAGTATTTGGTGTGGCAATCTTTCACTTGAGCCATTCTGGAGGCTGTCTAGTCCTTTTATTTACCATTACAATTATGATGAATCATGTTGAGCACTTTTTCATAAACTTAGTTGCCACTTAGATACCTTCTTTTCTGATGATTCTGTCTTTTTCTTATTTTTTAAAAAAATTGTGTTATATGTTATTTTTGTGTGTGTGTAGCAGAATTTTTTTCACATTCTCAATAAAAGTCTGTCCTCAGATATATATATTGTAAATATTTTATTTTGATGATCAGAAGATATATATTTTTTAAAAAGTTTGATCCAAATTTATATTTTTGTTTTATGGTTACTGAACATTTGTAATGTCAAAAAAAATTTGCCTACCTCAAACTTACGGTATTTCACCATGTTTTCTTCTAGAACATTTAGAGTTTAGCTTTCAAATTCAGGTCTTTGAATCTGTATGTTATGAAACAAGCTTTGAGGATTACCTCTGGTTGCTCTAATATAATATAATATAATAAAAAAAAGATCTTCAGGATAGTTCTGTCTCCAATTGCACTAGAACTTTTTTAAGAAAGAAAAAATTAAGTGGCCATCATTCTTATGTCAATTCCACAGTGTCTTAATTACTTTGGGTACATATTTGGTCTTGAATCTGGTAGTTTAAGTCCACCAACTTTGTTCTCCAAGACACTCTAAGCCATTCTAATTCCTTTGAATTTCCACGTTTAGAATTACGAGCTCTGGTGGTGTAGTGCCTAAGGCATTTGACTGCTAATCAGAAGGCTGGTGGTTCAAATCCATTAGCCACTCCTTGGAAGGAAGGTTAGGCAATCTACTTCTGTAGTGATACTGCCTCAGAAATCCAAAGAGGGGTCTCTATGAGTCAGATCTGACTTGACGGCAATGCATTGTGTTGCACTGTTGTTGTTGTTTAGAATTACCTTTTCAATTTCTACAAGTACTTGGGGAGAATTGAGGATTTTACAATACTGAGTCTTCCAAATTATAAGTCTTCCTTAGTTTCTGTAAGCAATATTGTGAAATTTTGAGTGAAGAAGCCTTGCACATCTTTCTTTAAATATATATCTATTTTACTTTCCAATTTATTCTGTGGGAAATGTAGATACATATTGTATATAACATATGTACTATGTAATACATAGAGTATAAATATGTACCTACAGAGTATTCATGCCCTTTATGTTTTTTCTATGCTTTTCTTATCTCACTGGCAAGGACCCCAAGGATAATGTTGAATAGAAATGGTGAAAGTGAACATCCTTGTTTTATTCTTCACCTTAAAGAGAAATAATTAATACTTCATATTTAAGTACACCATTAGCTGAAGGATTTTTTGTAGAAATCCTTTATCAGACTGGTGAAGCATTTTTCAATTCAACCTGCTAAGAGTTTTAAACATGAGTTAGTATTAAATTTTATCAAATGATTTAAATGTATCTATTTAAACAACCTTGCAGTTAAAACATTAAGCTGTTAACCAAAATGTTGGCAGTTGGAACCCACTAGACGCTCAAAGGAAGAAAAACGAGGCATTCTGCTTCTGTAAAGATTTGCAGCCTTGGAAATACTATAGGGTAGTCCCACTCTGTCTTAGAGGGTTGCTATGAGTTGGAATCCACTTGATGGCAGTGGGTGGTGGATTTATACAATCTTACAAGTTTTATCCTTTTGTTCTATTAACATGGTAAGGTTTTGAATATATAACCAACCTAGCATTCCCCATTTGACTGCTAACCAGAAGGCTGGTGGTTCAAACCCTCCAGCCTCTCCTCAGAAGGAAGATTGGGCTATCTACTTCGGTAGAGATACTCTCTGGGAAACCCAAGGAGGGGTTGCTATGAGTTGGAAAACAACTCAACGACAGTGAGGTTTGGTTGTTTTTTTGTTTGTTTGTTCATTTGTTTTTTGCATTCCTCAGATAAACTCCTCTATGTTGTGATACATTATCCATTTTATATATTGCTAGACTCACGTTTGTTACTATTTCATTTAGGACTTTTGCATCTATGATCATGAGAATTACTGGCTTTTAACATATTGTTTTTTAAGCTGATACTTTGCCTATCAGGTTTTGGTACTAAGATATGCCAGTCATAAAATGAGTTAGAAAATTCCCCCCTTCCTCTATTCTCTAAAAGAGATTTTGTATGTTTGGTATTATTTGTTCCTTAAATATCGAGCTGAATTCACTAATGAAGCCATATGAGCACAGAATATTCCCTGTGGTAAATTTGTAATCCAATGTCTTTACAAACCAAAACTAAGCTCACTGCCATCAAGTCGAAATCTTACTCATAATGACCACTTCTTGGGTTTCCAAGGTGTTATCTCTATGGAAGTAGATTGCCCAGTCTTCCTTCTGAGGAGTGGATGATGGGTTTGAACTGCCAGCCTTATGGTTAGCAGTCAAATTACTTAGGCACTATGCCACCAGAACTCCTACACAACATAAAAGTATTCAATTTTATTATTCTTGGATTAGTTTTGAATAGTTTGTTTTTCATGGATATTTTTCATTTCCATTAGTTTGGAAATTACATGCATAAATTATTTATAAGATCCTCTTATGTGTTTAAAATCTAGTGATACTTTTATATTCCTGATCTTAGTAATGTGTCTTGTCCTTTTCCCCTTACTCCCTCTATTTGATAACTCTTGCAAGTGCCTTACCAACTTTAGTAATCTTTTCCAAGAAGAAAATTTTAACTTTGTTTTTTTTCTGTTCTTAATTAGTTCATTGATTTCTACTTTTCTACTTTTTTTTTTTTTTTTTTTTTAATAATGCAAGCCCTTGCATGGCAATCCAAATGTATTGAACTACTGATGGATGCTAAGTTATACAAAATTGCACCACTTTAATTAAGGCTTTTAGTTTACATTTGGCCACCTCCAAGTAGTTGTAACATTAGGTTGGTCAATTTAAATACTGTGGCTCTCTCTCCTGCTGTCTCCGGTCTCCCGCAGCCAGCGTCTCCCCACGCCTCGAGCTCCCTCCCGGTCTCTGTTCTGGCGCCACTGCGGTCCTACCACTGCCGCCGCCGCTCCGGCTGGTTACACGCCTGACTCTGGGCAAGGTTTGGCGGTGTCCTGATTTCTACTTTTCTACTTCTTATGAGTTTAATTTACTCTTCTTTTTCTAGTTTCACAATATAGAAACTTGTATCATTAATTTCATATTCTTTACTAATATATTTATTTAAAGCTATAAATATTCCTCTGAACATTGTTTTAATCACTTCCTACAACTTTTGATAGATTGCATTCTCTTTATTGTTTCACTAAAAATATTTTGTGATTTTTATTGTAATTTAGTTTTTGAGCCAAACAATATTTCCATTACATGTCTTTTACTTAATTTCCAAATGGTTCAGTATAGTTTTTATTACTGCCTTCTAATTTAATTACAATACGGTCAGAGCACATATTCCATATGATTTAACTACTCTCAAATTTATTGAAATTTGCTTTATATCACAGAGAATGGCCTATTTTGATATGCCTTTCATTTGCACTAAAACAGAATGTGTATTCTGCCATTGTAAGGTATGTTGTTGTTATGTGCCATCAAGTCAGATCTGACTCATAGTGACCCCTCCTTGGGTTTCCGAGGCAGTATCACTATGGAAGTAGATTGCCCAACCTTCCTTCTGAGGAGTGGCTAGTGGGTTTGAAC